GTGCCCGGCCAATTTTTGATATTTTTTAGTAGAGACGGGGTTTCACTGAGTTAGCCAGGATGGTCTCAATCTCCTGACCTCGTGATCCACCCGCCTCGGCCTCCCAAAGTGCTGGGATTACAGGCATGAGCCACCGCGCCTGGCCTGCATTTCTCTTAGGAATCCTCTGTGTTTCCTTTTCTACCAAATTTCTCTTCATAACCTTTGGCCATTTTTCTCTTGTGTTGTTTGTTTTTTAACTTTGTAATGATTTGTGGGACTTTTTTTTTATTTTAATGTTTTTTAGAGATAAGGTCTCACTGTGTTACCCAGGCTGGACTGCAGTGGTATGATCACAACTCACTGCAGCCTCAACCTCCTCGGCTCAAGTGATCCTTCAACTTCAGCCCCCAGAGGATCTGGGACTATAAGTAGGTACCCACCACCACACCTGGCTGATTTTTAAATGTTTTGTAGATATGGGGTCTTACTATGCTGCCCAGGCTGGTCTCGAACTCCTGGACTCAAGCAATCCTCCCACCTCAGCCTTCCAAAGTGTTGGGATTACAGGTGTGAGCCACTGCACCTGGCAACACCTTCACTTGTTATGAATGTGTCTTTTGACAGTGTTACTACCAGCAAGTTACTTTTGGTATTAAAAACGCAAATACAACAAATAAAAGTGACACAATTAAATAAATAAATAGGCAGCGAAAACAGCTGACATGAAAAGGAAAACAACATACTCAATGTGGGTAACAGGAAAACTTCATAGTTTGACCACTGGGCTGGCATCAGGATTCTGGTGTCTTGATGGGCAGAAAAAAGTAAGCATTTAGCCTGAATTCTTTCTAGCTGGAGGTGATACTCTTTACACAGGGAAAACTGGGAGGGCATTAAAAAAAAGTCCTTGTTTTACTAGGGCTTTGGAATCAAGGATGCCTTTCTTCTCTATATTCCAATGAATTGTGTAATACTGTTTCTATAATAAGTTTAAATATAGTACTTGTTTTAGTTATAAGAAATGATCCCTTTCTGATATAAACCATAGATGTTTCCTTGTTTATATAATAGGAATAATAATGGTACTTATAGGTAAAGAAACGGGCCCAAAAAGGTCAAAGTAGCTTGCGCAAGGTTATTCAGTTTGTAGTGCCAGCATACAAAGCCAGGCCTAACACCAAAGCCTGTCGTTTTTAAATTTTAATTATTTAATTCAGGTATCCACCTGTTTTAATTATTGTCAACTTGCCTTCTAGAAAGGTAGTTACCATTTGAAACTCCCACTACTTTTTTTTTTTTTTTTT